ATTGTAAATGCACATTTGCAAACTAAGATATGCATGAAAACATGGAGATAAGACGGTTCTGCAGCAGTAAGATCAAACAATAAGGAAATGTCCACAGGCAGTGTTGTGGTTGCAGTGTTGTACTACATGTAATTAAACTAGTTGTTGAACTACATTTTGAAGTAGGTTGCTGGTTGGTTGTGTGTGCCAGCTCACCTATGAAAAATCTTAGTTTTTAATGTTTTGAATCTTTTTCTATGCACATTACAATCTAATACAGATTATTTTAGCAAGTAACATGTTGTATTAGAAATTATGTTTTATTAATCAGTAAAATAGAAAAATACATTGTGTTAAGCTGTAGATTCTATATCTAATTGTAGACACTATTCTATACATTATACCCTAAAATATATATAATACTGGTCCTTAACAGTTTATGATTAGATTCTCTGTCATTTAGGAGAAACGTGTTAACGTTTTAAAAAAAAGACAACTGACTGAGGAAATTATATTTTACAGCAGGATGCATGACATTTATAGTACAGGGCTCCAAACCAACTTGTCCACCACCTTTCCAAAACTCACAAAGGGGGAGCGCTACTTTGCAAATCTTGTGTATTGGCCGCATGAGCGCAGAACCCGGCCAATGCTGATCATCTCAAAATGCATTTTACCATAACACAAATTCTGTCTTCACATCACTAGAAATTAAAGCAAAGAGCACACACAGTTACACTCCCAAAGACACAGGCAGTGTCACTTGTTTTCATTCAATGATACTGAATGAGGAAAACATATATATACAATGATCTACTGTATTTGTATACTATCTTCAAATACTCAAAATTTTCCGTTCAGATCACAGTCCATGTTTGATCAGGGTCAAAAGACCAACTATAAATTTAAAGAAATTAACGTCAAAGGCCTGCTTGACATAATGAGAGGATAAGAAGAGATGAGAAGATATTGGATGGCCATTTATTGTATTAAGTAAATTATATAATTCAATCATTTGTTTCCTCTCTGTGTCCATGGAAATATGTTCCATTTTTGCTAACATAATAATCAAAACACTGTTTATCAGCCTGATTTCTTGAGGTATTAAAATATTCCAACAATTTGTTGTCAATCCAGTCTTCCTTTTCCCAATTTTATTCCACTTTCTTTCATTTTGTCCCTCTTCCAGAGTAACACAGTGATCCATTTGGACTTGGTAACAGGCGCCGTGCGGAGGCTCATGTTGTCTCCAGACAGTGATCAGCCCTCCACCAGAGCCTCCAATTGGTGGAGCAGTAAGGAACAACAGGTCAGAGGTTTCAGTGTCTCCAGAGAGAGTTTGATTTGGCTCGTGGCTCTCGAATGCTCATGAATCATCTCCACTGTTCATTAAAGACCCAGTTTTACAAGAGGACTTTACACTTTATTTGTTTAGGGTGATGAATTAGAATACATTACATCTGGAACTAATACTTCCAAAGCAATATCTGCAATGATGTGTGTATTGATTTTTGTTTGCAGGGAGGGCATAAAATGTGTCAGGACTTTGCCCACAAAAACTGGCTTCTCTTCTATAAGGAGGATGGGTAAGCTACTCTGACATAAACTACATTATCCACAACACTGTTGGTAAAGGTTATATATACAAAATTCACTTGGCACTAAGTCTTAAGCTAGAGCACTGGCATCTCAGTCCAGAACAATGGGCACTACGGCTGACCAGACTCTACTGACAAAACCAATAATTTTACCAAGCAGATAATTATTAAATAAACTTAAAACTGGGCAGACACCCAATCAAACTCATCAAAACCATCTTTGTTAGTCCTTCCAACAATCACCAACGCTGGTTTGGTCAAAATGAACCCCTTAATTCACATAGTTAGATGAGAAGATAGCAAAGATATGGTCTGCTACGGCCGCTATGTAACGTTAGCTAATCCATATGCATCCATCAAAGTACATCCACTAAAAGTTAAAACATTATGGAAATGATTCCTACAGAGATAGACCTTGTGTTTAACCAGAAACAGCTGTAATATCACTATTGCTTGCCACCAGACTCTAAACAACAACAAAAATATTGTTAATTCACTAACATCAGAGAACAGTTTCAGTCGCTCTACTCAACTGCACATGGCCAGACTGGTTGTGTAAACAAACCACAGAGAGGCTGCGATAGCAACACAGGCAGAGGGAGTGAGACACCATGTGACACTATATCTTTATATAGAGAATAGTTGTTTTCTGCTATATTAATGTTTTAAATATCATATATAACCTATGCATAATTATTATTAATCACTGATATGTGTGCAGCAACCAACTGGAGGTGCTGGATGTGCTGGAGGGCCGTGTTCACTCCATCTCCCTTCCCATCAACCTGAAGTCGGTCTTCCTCGCGGCAGAGGACCGCTGGTTACTGATGGAGAGCAAAACCAACAAGTGAGTGAGGGATGGGTTTTAAATCTCTCTGAGGGTCCAAAAGTAGAAGTTCAATTCATAATGCGAAATACTGTTATGTGGCACTGAACAGGAAGTTCCTGCTGACCAAGCCCATGCACATGGCAGCTGAAGACACTGGGGTGTGTCAGCTCCACAGCATCAGTGAGGACCCAGTCAGCTCAGGCCATGGAGCCAGCTCAGGTATATATAATGATAAGGACATCCTACAGCTCGAACCAAAGCTTAACAGGGTTTTTCTGTGTAAATCAGCTACTGTGCAGCACTTATTGAAGACATTATGTCAACAAAACCAAGCAGACAGACATACAGAGAAATAGACTGGTGCGCTAGGCAGCAATATGTCAACTGGCCTTAAGTCGACCCAAAATATCAAGTGATCCATGTATGTTTCAGTCAGTATTAAACTTTCATACCATTCCATGTCACAGTTAGTAAGAAGACAATGGGAAGTCATGAGTAATCTCTAACTATCTAGACTTAATTAGTCCAACAAGGTTATAAATCATTGTGATAAGCTAAACCTAACTGAGGACGGTGAACTTTATTGTAATCTAAAGAAGAAATATATGAAAGGGTTTCTGCAATGAGTTAATTGATATAGTTGACACTCTAGCTGGATACTTTACTCTCCAGATCAGTGGCTGGTATATTAAGTCTTTTGCTTTATTGAGTAACATTTCCTTTCCTGTTTCCCAGCTGAGGTGTCCATGCCCCAGATGCTGTCATGTGAGCAGCTACCCAATGAGAACCTCAGCGCCGCTCTGGACCAGAAGATTGTTTCACCTAACCGCATAATGGCAGACACCAGCTCCTTTGCCCGGGTTGTTGTGGGCTTCCCAGACCTCGTGGTGAGATTATAAGAGGGCTTGATGAAAGATTGTGGGGGTAATGTCCTAGTCTGTTAAAAAATCTCTCTTAAATGTTTTCAGTGTTATTAAAGTTCTTCAAAAAAGGTATTTTTCACCATAATTTAAGGCCACAAAACTGCAGGATTTCTCATCACTTGAAGCACTTGGAGACAATCCAGTTAGTGCTCTTTATTTTAAAGAAAAGGGCGAGTTACATAGTAGAAAAAAGTAAAGAGAAAAGAGGGAAAAAAAACATGAGAAATTAATTAGTTAACTCCATAAAGTGTGGCTGCAACTGCGACCATTCCATTTTGACCATAACTTACAAAGTGAATTTTTTTTTTCTATTTATACATTAACTGTATCTGTCCATTGCTCTGTTGTGGGGGGTATTTCACAAGACATGGGTCTGTGTATCGCTGTTAACCATGCAGTGGCCTATTCAATATGTCCCTGCTGTCAGCCTAATGTATGCTTAAAAAAATAAAATAGGTAAAGAGCATGAATGAAAACATGAGAGCTTGGGTGAATAAGGTACTTCAGTGTTGATGCTCGAGCTGAACTGATGAATATTAATGCATTCACAACTAGGCTACGTAGCCATGTGCTTAAAATATAAATAGTGACATTTTCCTCTTGATCTCTTGTCCAGTCCCCTAATGAGGTGTACAGCTTTAAGAGGCCTGTTGATCTATTAGAGATGAAGAGTGGCGAGAGTGGGTCTCACATGTTCCTTAGAGGTGGGCTTCGGTCCAGCACGGCAAAGAGGGAGAATTGTGTCAGCCTGCTCTCAGCCAATCAGGTGGTCCGAGCCCTTCCACCCAGCAAGGTGCCCATGAAGGAGGTCTACCCCAAAGGTCAGAGTTCAGATGAAATTAGTTTTGTTTACAACATAGCACATGAATTCAGTGTATAAAGACTTGTTTTCTTGTTCACTCAGATGTCACACCCCCAATGACAGCGGCATACCTGGAGGTGACTGATCTGAACTCCAAAAAAGTTAAATATATTCCTGTCCCAAGGTGAACACAACACACCTGTGTCTTGTTGTTTCCCATTCTGCAATATATTTTTAACAGCAACATCATTTTGCATCCTCTAGCACCACCTAGTGGGCAGAGACAACATTACATTGAGAAATACAAACGTAATGTCACTAATTTATATTGTATACTGTATTAATGTTCTAAATCTCATATATATGACCTTTAAATTATGATTTTCTGCTTCTGATGTTTCTCATGTATTACCAATGAATAAATCAGCCTTTAATATTAATTTTGGCCAAAAATTAGTGCAAATATTTTCTGCAAGCCTCTATCTGCTCTTATTTTCAAAGAGACAGTAGAAATTTTGAAATCTTGCATGTTCTGTGTAAGTTGGTGGCTTGTCCTTTGTGATTTTTGCCTCGTTCCATTTTGCATTCCTGCCCATCTTAATCCAAGGTGTTTTATGAAGTCTAACATCCATTAATCTGAATTTTAGGCCTTAAAATGTCTTAAATATGATTTTTACAGGTCCTAAAAATTGATTGGATAAGTGAAATTAACGTTAAAATGACAATGAAAAAGGAAAAGCAGGAAACCTTCATGCTCACCTCTTGACTTGTGAGGTGTCTGCGGGGACCCAAAAAGTCTAAAATCCAATAAGCTGAATTGTAGGCCATAACATTACATTTTTTTTTCAAAAAAAGCATTTTTCAGTTTCTCGTTTAAATGTGTTTTGGGGGAAAATCCCTATTGATCACGTTGTTACAGCATGAACATGAACAACTACCAAATAGACTTAGAGCCAATACCGATTTCCATCATATCCTTTGTACTTCTCTCTCTCTTCTTAAATTGCATTAATAATGGTCTTGATGCCCCTTTGAAGACTCTCCTACATACTTGTTATTGGCAGGTCAATGACCGTGTCACCTTACACCAGCTGGCTGTCAAAGGTGTCAGAGTCTGACGTGCTAATGGCTCCTCTCGGTTCTGGAGGTGTGGTCACAGTGGATATGGGAGGGTACGTCCGGCTGTGGGAGACTGGATTGGACACCCTGCAGCGATCACTGATGGAATGGAGGAATATGATTGGGACGGAGGATGGCAGACCTGTACAGGTAACATCACAACTTAAATGGTTTATGGTGAAGCCTCAGTGTTGTATTACAGATGAGGGGATTGAATAGAAAACCTTGCAGCCTGCAGTTCCTCTCAGTACCACTGAGGGGCAGTACTGCTTTAAAAATGTGTCAACTGGATGTCACTCCTCAATCTTACCTCACTCTGACAGAATATATTAGCTGCCTAACCGAAATGTTTCCAGGTCCAAAATGTATGACCCGGCTGTATCCAGGGTAGGCGTGTGTATGAATGGACGGCCATTGTGCTGATGATGCAATAGCTTTTGACCCTGGTGTGGGTCAGAACATTCAGACCGGCATACTGAGACATCTTTGTTGATGTGCCCACATACACAACAGAGGCAGACAAATTCTTTAGATAATGTAGCCTTCCAGACGTAGGGGGCATTATCTGTGCACAAGGCAGAGAGAGAGAGAGAGAGAGAGAGAATGCAGATATCAAGATCAGTGACTGTTTTCTCTCTCTTGTCACCAAATATGTTTTGCTGCTGCAAACAAAATATGACGAGAGGTAATCATTATGTTATTTGGTACTTATTCTGGTTTGCCATGACTCCAGAGATGTAGAGAATCTATATCTAAGAGGATACTATGCCAAAAAGTAAATTTTCTTACTGCCTTTGACTGAGAATGTATTCATTAATACACCTGCACACCTGCAATGTACATATGGGACCTCTTTCTGGCCTAGATTCCTCAGTGGTCAGCTCTTCTTTGATGGGGCACCTTGAGTTCACTGTAGGTCAGACTTGCACAGACTCTCCCTGTGCTCTGTGTTAGCTCAGTGGAAACAACAGTGGCACTACTGTATTTAAACATGCCTGTGTAAAAGGTTCTCTGTATGTCTGCTCAGAGATATGCTACTTTACTGATTTGTTTACACGTCCCGCCTCCATATGAGCTTACCTGTTTGCAAACAGCACATGTGCACTACTTGCCAAGAAGTGTAACTATGAGGCTTTTGACCAAAGTATGAAATAGAAAAGGAAAAGTAGGAAATAAAAGAAAACCTCCAGGCTCCTCTTAACTTAATGATCCCTACAAGAATTGTATTAAGACATGCATACAAATAGTCAGCTTGGAACAATAATATGTGTCTGACATGTTTTTTTCACGAAAAACGTCTAATTTATATATTAATATCCTTAAAAGTAACCTCCTCCTTCTTCCTTATTAAAACTTCCAGAATCTCTGAATATACAAATGTTAATTTTTCAAGTTTTCTTGCTGGACACAAGATGTTTCCTCCTTCACTGTAAAGCAGAGCACAGAGAAACTTTCCACTTTCAGCAGATGAATGTGAAAACATCCTTCTAGTGTCAAACTCTGCACATACAGCATTCAAACAGCACACTGTAGGAACAAGGACAAACACTGATTATGACTGGAGGGGAAGTATGTCAGACAAGGTGTCTAGATGGTCTAGAGGGTTCATTTTTTTGTCTAGCTTTTAAATGTGTTTTTGGAAAAAATGTGTATTGATCATGCTGTAACAACTACAAAACCATACTTTTGAATTGAAATGAAAATGTAAATCCTCACATATTTGCAATATGATAGAGTAATCAAGTCTTTCGTCCCTATAGAGGAAAGACATGACAGCTCATTCCCTTATAATACTCTAGCTCCATGCACACATGTATTCCTGACCACACATTGAGCTGTGTGAGTGTAAGGGGGTGTGCATTCAGGTGTGTGTGACCGTCTGGTCTTCCATACTCAATAGTTCCTCTCATTCAGTCGGACATTGCTTCATTACAGCACTGTTGACACCATTAATACACACACCGATGTAGAGGACACACCAGTCATCACCTATCTGCTTACACAACACACGTCTTTTGTTTAACTGCTGCTGCCAAGTAGGTGTCTGCAGGTATCCAGCATAATATAACCACGTTCATAGCACTCTATGAGTGTCAGGTCATGTCACTCAACCTGACACTCAGCTGTATAATATGGTTGTTTTTACACCTGTATGTCAATGTGAGCCCTGGTTGGCCACGTTGTCACCTTTCTCCCACCCTGCCGTTGTTATTAGTTGCACTCATACACACATATGCACTTGATTGTTCCCTCCAAGTTCAAATTGTCAACAGCAGTGTCTTCCAGGCTTGTGCCACAATCTGCACACAGCAAAAGTTAACATAAACCTTCCTGGGAACAAATAATATAATGAACTGTATGTCAGGGCCTGTTACCACATACAGTTTCAGTTCTTACACACATGCGTGTACGTCAATTCAAGGTGCTGGGATTCATAAACTCATACAAATAAATAAAATTTCACACTCCGGCATGAAAACGCTCAGACACACTTGCACATGTTCAAACATTCACGTTCAGGCATGCATTTATACCAGTTCACACTAGAATGCACCCAAGTTCACGCAGGCTCATATTTACTCCCTAAAAAGTGCTCAGAAGTGGGCTCATGCACACACACACAGATGCCATCCCTCGTAAATCACTCTCTGTCTTAAGGCGTCTAAAGGGAGAATCAAAAATTTATGAGGCTATTAATCCTACAAGGCAAGGCATGGACTGCAGAAGAGAGACATAGAGAGAGACACTGGTTTAGAAAGAGAGGGGGGGAAACTAATGGAGAGAGGAGGGTGGGATAGAGACATTGATTCCCACAGTCATAAAAATGAAGTTTTCTCAACTGCGCAGCCCATTCCACACCCCCCTTGCCACTCTTTCTTTCTCTGTTTCTCTGTCTCAGGGTTAAAGGCCTGTCTTGAGCTCCCTGCGTACCACTGGGACCATAGCAACAAGTAGTTTCCACATGTTTCACCAAATACTGTGGAAAGACACGGACACACTGTCTGTGACATCACCCATTAGTTTCTGATGGCCTGTTGTAAAGCCTATAGATGGGTTCACTGCACTCTTAAACCATTTGTTCAAAATCTTAATTTCAGCTGTGGGATGGAGCTTAGACAACTGTCATTCAGCAAAGCAACCAAACACTCCTAGAGTTAAGCCTGTAAAGAAATAGTTTTCCAAATTGTTGTGGAAAGCATTAATGTGACTTTATTTCAAGAGAGGTTTCGAACATCTAGAGGACATTTAAGGACATGCTTAAATAAAGAACCTGGAAACTTTGCTTAAAATCTATGACATTTTTTTAGATATCCACAGTAGTACATGAGAGATAACAGATAATATGTGTGGCTCCTCCTAGTGCTCCTAATGGCATTCAGAAGAATCTACTGCCTCAATTAAAAACTAATCAGAGCCAAGAAAGATGAGAGTCTCATTCCCAGGTCGTCAAATACTGATGCTGGGAATGAGACTCAACAATCAACTATCTTCAAGCCACCAACCAAAAGTGTCTTTTTATCTTCCTTCGCTCTGATTGGTTGTTTTCGTTCAGGCCCGGTGGATTCTTTCAAATACCATTAGGAGCACTAGGAGGAGCCAGAGGAACCTGATTGTTACACAGATTACCTGTCTCATGTTCTACTGTCAGGATACACCGACCAGCCATAACATTGTGAGCACTGACAGATGAAGTGAGTAACATTAATTATCTGGATATCATGGTTCCTGTCAGTGGGTGGGAAATATCAGGCAGCAAGGGAACATTTTGTCCTCCGGTTGATGTGTTAGAAGCAGGAAAAATAGGCAGCAGGAAAAATAGGCAGCATGAAAATGAGCGACTTTGACAAGGGCCACATTGTGATGGCTAGATGACTGGGTCAGAGCATCTCCAAACCTGCAGCTCTTGTGGGGTGTTCCCGGTCTGCAGAGGTCAGTACCTATCAAAAGTGCTCCAAGGAAGGAAAAGAACAGTGCAGAGCAATTTGTTGGTATGGTGCTGCAGAACATTTTGATTTGATTATTTCCCATTGTGTATTCCCATTTAAAATGTTTAATTAAATGATATTCTCAGTGTTGCGCAACATAGAAACAGGGGACTCCCTCAGATATAACAATCTTTTAGGTTTATGTTATGGCTACCAGTTCTAATTATGTCAGCTTTATTTCTGAGAAGTCATGTTTTGTTCGTAATTTTGGTATTTAGATAGATATATACTTTATTAATCCCCTATTGGGGGAAATTCTTCTTTTCACCTTTTTTTTTTTTTTTTTTTTAAAAACACACACACAGGCTGAAATGCACACTTCACACTTGTGGACATGCAACAGGTAGAGAGATGGTGGAGTGATGGGCTCGCCATGTTAGTGGTGCCCATGAGCAGTTTGTTCCTATTTCATAGAATTAATGTTGTTGCTGCTCAGGATTGTAATGTGACACTCACACACACACCATCCTGTAGCTCCAGTGGCCAAATAACTCATACCTCTTTCACAACCACAGTAGGAACCTGAACCAAGTGTGGCTGCTCTAAAATCTACTCCAAGCCCAAAATGGACACACGTTGTAAACCATCACTCATAATTTTTTGAAAACCAAAAGTAGAGCAATAGTCACCCCTTTACTGGTTGTAACTGGGCCAGAGCGGAGGCCATTACCAGCATGAAGACACATGTTGTTGTCACCAGCAAGAGAGCTGTATCTATATACAGTGTGATGACAAGCATGGATTACTGAAACAAGCCTGTGTTCAAGAGACTGGAATCCTGATAGCTCAACTTCCTCTCTGATGGACTGATTTCCCAGACACCTAAAAAGAGCATGAGGGCTCAACAGAGGCATAGACACAGGTCTGAGGGATGCTGTGTTGGCAGGAGAAAAGAGCCGGTGTGGCGTTTAACGAGTGATTGTAATAACATTCATAAACACTGAGTGTGAATGATACATCTAGCCAGCACAGCTAAGCCTTTGAAGCTGAGCTGCCATGCATCAGGTGAACACCCTCGTTTCCCAACATGGGACAGGTATGTGTGCAGCAAAGCTCATGTTCTGTTGCTGTATGCAGTGTGTGTGACTCACACATGCACAGACACATATGAGTGTGTAATGAGAGAGCAGTCACATTGCGGAGGTGAGCTGTGGTGACACCATAGGCTCAAACCTCTGACCCTTTACCTCACCGCAGAGCTATGGCACCGAGCTCTCTCTGGTTACTGAGATTAACGTTGGTTCACCTGCGAGCACACACACATACTCACACACACTTCCTGTGGATCTTCACTAACACCAGTGTAATGTAAAGCTCTATTGATACACAGATGCTCTGTTGGTTGGAAGCTGCATGGGACAATGAGGATGTTTGTCATTAAATTAAACATGTTTGAGCCCCTGCTGATTGCTAAAACAGCCTGACCCCCCAAATCCCTGCTGCTATTGTCATGCAAAAAATGGCCATTAAAGATTTTTTTCATCAAGATCAGTAGTTTCAATTCAGCTGGTCTGCATATCACTCTCTGTGTGTGTTTATAGGAGTTATATCTTCTACATTCTGCATTTCTCTTAGAACCTGACTGATTTTTGATACCATTAACAGTATTGATCACGACATTTCAGAGCCGAGAAAGATAGAAAGATGGTTTAGGTTGGTGTCTTGAAGATAGTTGATTGTTGAGTCTCAATCCCAAAGCATCGGTAAATGATACCCTGGGAATGAGATGATTTTATCTGTCTCATCTCTCATGTTCTACTGTCAGGATATAGTGAAAGTATCAGCAAATATAAATAAAAATAATGTGTTCATAAAAATGACCTACTGCAGCTTTAAAACTACCACTGCCAGTTTGAATGTCCAGAGACTAGCTGGTAAAATGTTAAAAGTGAATGAGCAGGGAAAGCAGCAGGGACACTTGGTTGATAAATGTTGAGAGGCACTGTTTTTTTAATTTTTAAACGTAGTGTGAAACTTACAGTAGGTCCCCTTTATGAGCTGGTTCCCACAATGAGTATTATCTTGTCCTGGTAATCTGACATCTGTATATATCAGGCTGACCCTCTTAATCTGCACTAAATATAGAGAGCTCTGCTGATACTGCAGCTTCATGTAGATGTGAGAACAGAGCCTGAGCTGTATGTGTCAGTTTGAGGTGTGGACAGTGGGTCAGCGGAGGTACGGGAGGGGTCCTTCTCAGCTGGACTGCTGCTCCTACTAGATAAGTCTCTGTTCAACTGCACTGACCATGACAAAGCAATAAAAAATAAAAAAAAACACCAAAGATAATGACTCACACAACCGTCCACAATTTACAAAACCTCACCCTCCTGCAGATACCATTTGAATTCCTGCAGTATGTTAGAATCACTCCTTCATGCGTGCCAGCCTCTGGCCGGCCACCCTGCCTCAGTGAGAGCCAGTGTGCTGATTTTGGTGCTAATAGTGCCATCCAAAGGTTTAACCTCTCTGTGTCTCCACTCCTTCCCTCTCCATTGCTCTCCTGCAGAGAAATTCAGAGCCTATTCTGTCCATCCTGCCAAAGCCTCAGACCTTAGAGATAAAAAAGTCCATTCTCCTAATGCTTTGACTGTGTGGTAGGTATCTTACTGTTGGGATGTTTGGATGGCTGTCTCACATACTAATTCAGAACATCAGGAGGTTAACACAAAGAGGAAGTTGTGTGAGCTTGGAAAAGTACAATGTCATGTATCTTTATTAGTGTCAAAGTGTGAATACTGCTACATTTGCAGGCAAATGTGTTTTCTTTGAAGCTTTCACCAGGGACTGTTTCAACACTGTTACTACCTAAACACTGCAGCTTTTTAGATAGGTCTGAGTCACTAGACCTATGTGGTACATGTAGTTGAATTGTGTTCCATTATCCCAACTTTCAAACTCAGAGAAATCTGTCATTTTATTCAGGTAACATCCATCAAATATCACAGTACTACAATCTTAGAGCAGAAGAGTCAAATGGCTGAAGATAGATTATCTAGCAGTCTGGGATTAAAACACAAAATAAAGTATTCTTTGCATGTAAACTATGAATTAAAAATCAGTATTAGTGTTTAGTAGTGTTTTTGAGAATCAATACAGTATCACAACACACAATATTGTGATACTCATTGACTCATACACAATATTTTCTTAATCATCTGTGTACAATTTCTGTCTGAGTCATGTCAGAATAGATTTTCATCAACAATGGTAGCTGTTTAACAATGAGGACAACTCCCATGATCCTACACTACTTCAAGACCTCATCAAGCTATGACTTGTTATTGTTTTGAAGTGAGAGACCCCCTAGTGGCAGAAACTACATAGTGTACGTTCAACATATAGTAGGAACTTTAGCTAGAAAAAAGCTCTAATGTGTCTGTTCTTCGCTGAGACATTGTTCCTGGAAAACTGTATACCTAGATACTAGATACCACTGGTGATGAGTCGGGGCTAAACTGACCCTTTAACCTTTATAAGTTAGAGTCTGTGCTTACGTGTTTGCTGAATGTTTAAAAAACGACCCACATGCCATCTCTCACTCCTCTCCTCTCAGATCACTATCCAGAGGGAAAGCGGCCTGGATGTCTCCGCCCCCAAGCATGGCAAGATCGACCCCAACAACGCTCCTCACGTTGGGGGAAACCAGTGGGCAGGAGGCACAGGTAACCAGTGTTTCTTATAGGCACAGGAACATGCACAAATTCCATCTGTCCACCAACTGCTGATTGAAATCTGTGCTAACATTTTACACACACTTTACTTTTATTGATAGCATATAAGGTGGATATATGAGGCAGCTGTGGTGTGCTCCCCTCCCACAGCAACTGCTTAATTGCCCTTGGGCAAGGCAGTAAACCTCCCTCTGCTGAACTACTTGAGGGCATACCACCACTATGGCTGGTCTTATAGTACAGTAGCTTAGACCAACCCTATTGAGCTACGAACAGCTCACAGAGGAGGCAGGTTTATGAAGAAGATTATTTATTGTTACTGTTGTTGAATTCTGAATAGAACCGGTTCAAGAACCAGATCTAATTTGGTGGAAAAGGGGTCTTCTTGGTCCACTCGTCTATTCCCAATAGTTCCAGTTTGGAGCCAAGATTGCAGTTGTAACCCAGTAAGAACAACACTTAATTGACTACTGTACTCAGATTCAACTCAAGGAGCGAGGGATGGATCAATGTAAAAGGTAAACACAGGGATATTTATTTTCAGAATCAACAAAAAGTAGAATCACGGTTCAGATTCAAATCCCCAATATATAAAAGAAATAAAAGAACTGAAAGTAAAGTGTCTCTTTACAGCTTATTGCTGTCTGATATCAATGTTCGTCAAAGTCTAGTCCAAAGAGCTTAGTTTGTATCCATGTCCGTCCAAGTGTATTCAATGTGTATGTGCTGCCCGGGTAGAATGTGTGTGTTTGTTTGTATGCTTGCTGCGCGCAGCTTAGATCTTATCTGCTCCAGGCATGAATCTTCAGGAAGATGATGAAGATGGAGAATTCCAGATACTCTCTAACCCTGCCTCGCATCCGACAGGAAACCTAGTTGGAATCGATGCTTTCCCACAATGTAGATCCAGCAACTCAAAAAAAACAATCTGCCATAGCAGGGAATAAAATGAATTATCTATCATCAATTACTGCACAGTATCATATCTCTCTTTAACTCAAGTGTAACTTATAATACTGACCACAAAAGGAATGATGAACTATATCCTGAGACCTTAAAACCTTAGACATCATTGTGTTTGTTTCCTTTTTTTAACAGTATTAATAACTCATGTTACACAAATTATCCCAAATCTCTAATCAATCATGTCTCTCATTCATATTCACCCTCATGTATTTTTAATCATCTCAACATGAACTGTAACACATTATTTATATCAGGAAAAACCCATATGTATACAAATCATGAGCATTAGTCCACGTATAGCATATTAACACTCCAACATTGAACATGGCGCCCAGAAATGACGCAGTAAAAATGACCGTTCCTCACTAAAAATAAATGCATTTCTAAAACACAAACTCAGCATATTAACTCATTTCATGTCTCCATAACATTTACAGTTGACTCCAATTGGTTTTTGTTGATAAGAAAGGTTCAATATTGCTTAATCATAACCAAACAGAAAAAAATGACATGTCCGCTAGAAACGTAGCATGCTAACTAGCACACTCACCGGAGTCCTCAATCTTATAAAACAAAAGAAAGCAAATCCTCCGGTCGCAGCGGTCTGGAACCCTCTGGCAACAACTTTGGTCAAGTACAGACTCATAAACATGAAAACCAACAGTATGTCTTCCATAAAATGCCATCGACTTCACTCGTGGCTGTATCGTGAGTTGTTAGCATCAGGCTTAGCTGGGGTGTTTTTTCATCCCAGGATGCGATGCTCACGTCTACTGGATTTACTACATATCACATACATAATGCGCCCTCTAGCGGCTATTTTAGGCAACTACAGTCATCTTGAAACAGTTTTCCTCATAAATTCAGATATTAAAATGAAACTTATTAACTATGAGGCCAAACAAACAAATAATAGTCAGTTAACCCAAAGCTGTACTTTCATAGGGGTTACACAGTGTTTTTGAACCATTCATTTTACCTTTTGCTTACTATCTTACCATCATGTTTAAGCTCCTAACTAATCATGGATGTACACTATAGGCCAAAAGTTTGGAAGCAAGATCAAATATGTACAAAAAAGATCATAGTTTCATTTGTATTACATTGCAACAAAATAAACATGATTACTATATAAAGAGTCACTTATCAGAATACATTTTTACTATAATTATCAAGTATTTGGGTTTTTCTTGCTTTCTTTGCTGTCTTCAAAGTAACCTCCTCTGGCTTTAACAACAGCATGGCATATACAAGGCCTCCGTTCCACAAGTTTTTTAAGGTATGTGCCAGGAGTTGCATTCCAAGCTTTCTTAAGTCCCTCAATGAGATACTGCTGATTCATGGGACGCACTTTTCTGACTGATCAATCCAATTCGTCCCACACAAGCTCAATTGGAAAGATGTCTGGAGACTGAGGGGGCCAAGACATCTTTCGAAGAGCACCTTCCTCTTCTTTTTTGTCTTCCACTGACAGAGCTTGGAAGAATGCTGAGGGTCATCACAAATCTGTACTCTTGTTTCTTTACTCAGCTGTTTCTTTCTAGCCATTTCTGTGGTAGTTTGTCAGAGATATGAACACAGTTGAGATTTTTGTATGCAAACTCAAAAGCCAGAGAGCTAAAGTGAATAATGCAAACTTATCAAGGGTCAGTTGTTGATTGCAGTCCTTAAGTGTGTGATTTAAACTGATCAATAGTTCAACATTTATTGTGTATGTCAATGTGCTATGTGCACAGTAAAATTAATGCAGACATTTTATGAGGTCAAATGAAACTGGCCATAATGTGTGGTTTCAAATCAATTATGGGTTATCTAACGTATCACAACTGTGATTTGTTCATCCTCAATAAGATGTCTCTTTGCAGGTGGCAGAGACACAGCAGGGCTAGGTGGCAAAGGGGGCCCCTATCGGCTGGATGCAGGGCACAAGGTCTACCAGGTTTCCCAGGCGGAGAAAGATGCTGTTCCAGAGGAGGTCCGCAGGGCAGCCCGTGAAATGGGTGAAAAAGCCTTTAAAGAGAGGTCAGTGGCTTTAAAAATACAGTGATGACATGCTAAAAAATGCTTTTCCACTTTGGAAACTACCCAGTGTGTCAACTAAGTGTGCCGTGTGTAACATGGAACAGGTGGGTGTGTGTGTGTGTGTGTGTGTGTGTGTGTGTGTGTCAGCTATCCCAGGTACGGTGCCTGGTCCTGGACAAAAAACCACAGGCTGCAGTTTCCTGGCTGGATGGATGAAGGCAGTAGTAGATCCAACTGGGCAGTGTCTATGTGTCTTTATGTTTACACACATTTGTTTCAGAGTGGAGGGTTGAGAGGGCGCCCCTTTCACTAGCTCAACCGTGAAGGCTGTCTCTGTTCCCCTTTGCTTCAAACAGCCTCGTTCTCTTAACTTTCCTTTCTCCCCATCCCCCTAGTCCCCTCCTTTCCTGTGCGGCTCGTCTCATACACTGGCTTCTTTCACATAACCTTTCTGACTCTCCTCTCTCTTCACTGATTTTGTCTCTACTCTTCTTATTTGTAGTCATTTCACTTGTTTTTTGAAATTTTTCTTTGACGTCCTTTCCCTCCTTCCCCCCCTCCCTGTCTTCTGCCTGTCTATCAGTGTCCCACTAAGACCAGGGAAAATCTTGTAGCTACATGCTGATACCCTGCTTCCAAGCAGATGTCACTGTGCTTAAGTGTTCTTTAATGCAGCAGGTGAGCACACACAGGAGAAATACATGGAGATAGAATATTTATTTTTCATACAACAGGCCAACTGTGTCAGGCTTTTTCCATACCTTCTCATTCACTGATGTGTGCGCACAATCCTTTGTTTATTTAGATTAGGTTAAGTATCAATCAAACTCTGATCCTTCCGTAATTCCTTGAGTACCTGTCACACACACAAGCAAAAACAGGCTTAGGTATGCCCACGTGAGCATGCACACACATACTCACACTTCTATGGATATGTTTCTGGCTCCATACCTGCCAGCCTTCCTACATTAGATGGTGGGCCTATGGCCACCGTTTTTAAGCCTAATTAACAGGACTGGATTTAAAAACTGCATAGCTAAAGGAATAACGACATTTAATTCAATAACAGATGAGGGACCACTACATTTTAGGAGTTTTGAAAGAAGAATATGCTCTAGAAAAGAAATACTTTTATAGTTTTTTACAATTACATAATTATTACTAGATATTAACGACCCATGGCTGAAAGAAGTTTTATGAGAGTTAAAGAGAGGTATTGTATCCAGACTGTATAAGAAACATCACGTACAGAAAAAACACATTCTACAGAGTATATTAAAAATAAATGGGTGCAATGGTACAGGTGCATCAACTCGCATACTTGGAGAGAATTTAGATGAAAGTCTCAAATTAGATTTTTCATTACGCAGAATCACCAAGCACTCTTCACAGGAGAAGATTTAAAGTACTGTGTGGCAGCCAAGATGTTTTCATTAGTGTATAATCACCTGAATATAAGAATCGTCGTATTTTTGTTGAGACATTTATATCTACAAACGCCACAGGTCACCTTCCATGGAGACTCACTCACTTCAAAACACAAAATATGTTCCACTAGCGGTCGATTGGTGAAAGGCACCAGGATGAGTAAAACACACACAGATTGAAATCCCTTCTTGAGAAGGAAACTTTGTTCTCTTGTGGTTTTATTGTTCCTTGCTCCTTTCTTGCTTTGTTTTATTCTGGTTCCAGAGTGAGGTATGTACTACATGTGGTCTAAGGGTAACAAGGAGCAAATTTGTCGACAGACATGTAAGACATTCTCCCTGGGTCTTAGGATCTCAAAGTTTGTAGTTCTGTTTAATAATACAAAGCAAATAGATGAGAATAAGGGAAGTTTCCTTCTGCTGTGAATCCATAAGATTCCTAAATGACGAATGAACACACCCCAAAAAAAGCATTGCTGAACAACTGATGAGTGTTGGATAAGTTGTTGCTGTTTAGTGTGAAACATATTTCATACTTTTATTACATTTTAGAATGTTCATGGAAATATTTAATACACCAACAAATAGCCTGCCTACAGGCCAAAAGTTCGACATTTGTGGGAGGCTGTGATTGACAGAACCAACAACTATTAGTGCAATACCACTGCTAAAACAAAACCACACTTTTCTAACCATTGTGTGCATCATAAATTTCAAAATACAATCAAATGTTTGAACAGAAAGCCATCACCCTTTCTGGCCTGTGAGGCAGGGCTAGTGGAGGGAAGGTTAGTGTTTGTGTAGTGTGTAGTTGCTGGGAGTGTTGGCCTGAGTCCTTGTTTTTGTGGTTGTTGTGTGTGAAATGTCACAAACTTTGCTCTTAAAAAACAGACTCCCTCTCTCTGTATTTGCCATTCACTCACTTTCCCTCTCCTGTTTAAGTCAAGGTTCAGGAATTTGGAGGAAATAGCCGCGGCCAGTGGCCAGAGTGTCTGTTCCCCACACACACTCTCATGCATCCTCACACACACTAAGAATGTGTGGAGGAAGCCGCTCTGCTATGTGCTGTTTTGTGGGCTTACACGATGGTGGTGTGAATGCAGAGGAACAGACAGGGAGACTGTGTGTACAGGTTGAAAATAACTGGTCTGTAATGTGAGTGTGATACATTGTGAGTACACTGTGTATCATTAGAATATGAAGGCCAGTTACTGTCACTATAAACAGATATTCTGCAATCAAACTTACATGTTTACTATTCATCAAAGGAAGTAGTCTGCAGTAGGGCTGCACAATTACTGCCAAAATGATAATCATGATCATTTTGATCAATATTGAAATCCCGATTATTTCATGATTACAGAGCACTGCCAATCTCCAGTTAAATGCTTTAATGTGAATAACAGTAGAGAACAACTGATAAACTGTACAATTAACCCAAACAGTGAACACAAAAACTGAGTGATTTGGATGAATTTTGAGCAGATTATTTGTTTTACTGATATTTTTAGAAACTTTTTGTACAATTCTCTTTCTGTATTATGTTATTTTACAATCATGAATACCTAATATTTTACTTATTTTGACAGATTCAGTGTTTTCTTCTCCCTGTGACCCCCTGAGAAGCTTTGGCAATCCCAGATTGGGAACCACTGAGATACAGTGATATAAAACTCACATGAATCCTGATATGACACACTGAGGTCACATTGCAAATTTTTTTTACTGTGTCTGATTTGGACCACATGTGAAAGTGTTCCCAATCAGAATTGTAAAGATCAGATTTCATGTGATTTGTGCTGTTCACACTGTGATGATAAAACAGATCTGAGTCACATATGTGCAAAAAACATCAGATTTGGGCCACTTGTGCCTGCAGTGTGAACAAAGCCAAAGATAGCAGCTATAGAGGAGTTATAATTAGATATAGATGATGGATGAATGAATAAATGTAATATATGAGCCATTTTTACAAGTTATTCACAGAGCCTTAAGCTCTAAGCTATACAATGTAAAATATTAGAATAAAGCATCTGAATATATTTTAAAGTATTGAAATGTCTTAAATTGAGCAAAATGTGCTACTACAATCTAAGACAGTAGTCTGTTCAAACTGCCATTCACATCTGCTACTAAATGATACAATATGAGTGGAAGAAGGTTCACTGTGGCTCTTTGCCCTGTTGTTATTCTCACCTTTTAACTAAGAGGAAGCGGCAAGCTCAGAATCTAGATGCAGTTTCACAGAAATACACTTTCACATTTATACTTCTTGTATTTAAATATTTAAATTTGTTCTTCGTTTGTTTGTTTGTTTGTTTGGTGGTTCTAATGGGTGTTGTAGCACACCGTGTGGCTCACCAACGGTTGTTTGTTTTCTTTTAGAAGATTTAAAGCTGTGTCTGTCCATTGTCAGAAAATGGAAGACATTATTCATAGGTATGTTTTCATTAGTGTATAATCACCAAAAATAAGAATTGTGTTTTTTAATTTTATTATTGCCTTAAAATGAGCTGTTTTTATCTACAGAGGCGGACTCCGCCATGTTGAACTGCCATGTTTCTGCCTCTAGAGAAGGCCTTTCCCCATACACACTGGTCCCTTAAAACACTCCAGGTGTTGGTGATGATGTAGCTTAATTCAGCCATCCACTGCAGACATTATGGACATCCTGTTAATGAATATGTATTAGTATGTATTTGGTCTTTTTGAATGTATGCTTGATGCCACACAGTCTACACAATACATCCTACCTCTTACTCTACTCTCATGCAAATCCCTCACACACACACACACACACACACACACACACACACACACACACACACACACACAGGTTTGTTACGAGTTGTGACTCATAAAGTCAGAGCCTCTCCACCAGCCATCCATACCTACCTGTGTTTTGAAGTCACTGCTCTCTATCTCTGTGGTGGTCACGGTCTGCTTGTCACCAAAAGTTTTCAAACACCTGGCAGAGATTTCCCTCACCTGTCTCTGTCTCTTTTTAACCCGCATGCACGCACACACACACACACACACGTCTGTGCAAACATGGTGACCTTTACCACCTTCGACGAGCTATTCTAAAAGTACCTGCACAGTGGGATTATACTGATAAACTCGGCTTAGGGGGCATAGCCCACCTGTGTTGTCATGTCCACAGGTGTGTTTTGGAGAGAACACACACGTGCAAACACAAAAAAGTGTGCTCCATATTTAACAACACTGACCCCTGTGTCAGTTTGCCCACAGGTGTTTCGAGATTCTTTCTATTTTTATTCCTTTCTCTTGTCTGACTTACCTGTTTTTATGTTTAGAAGGATAATTATTTTGTAAAAAGCATGGAGAGAAGATGAAAGAGTTATATTATGCTTGCAGTAGCACCCTCAGCTTTTGCAAAGAATGTGTGAAGTGAGGGTGGGAGAAGGGGAAACTCTTGAGTTCAGAGATGAGCCGAGCAGAGAGAACAAAAAATATAGTGACTTGTAGAGTGTCCTTAAGATCTTTCATGACTTCCTTTCATCACCAGTGTGAGTTAACAGAGCCCTGTACGCCTCTGTTAAAGTTGAAAGTCGAAAGAAAAACCACAAATCAATTATACTGTATGCTTGAAGACAATGGGTGGTTTGCCCGAAACATGTCAAACCAATCAAACTCTTAAACTGTTCTTCTGTCCTCTCCCACTGTGTTTTTCTCTGTCCTTCCACGTCAGGTTGAAGGAGATCAATATGAGCGATTACGATGCCGCAACGTATGAGCGCTTCTCCAATGCTGTCAGGAGACAGGTTCAGTCTCTACGCATCATCCTGGACAGTTTGCAGGTTAGCTTCACTCCACTTGGCATCACACTTACTTCTTTATTTGATACACAATTACTTGTCTTGATGAATACATAACACTATAGAACAAGGCACGGGGAGCTTCACTCTTCTCTCAATAACATTTTTTGAAAATACTGCATGATTTCTACATCATTAAAATTCCAAATCTTATCAGTAGTGTCTTAGGGTGTATTCACACGTGTAGTTCGGTTCATTTGTTCCAGACAGTGAGGGAAAAATTATACATTGTTGCATTTTAGTTCCGTCTGGTTCCTGTTCACACTGACCTTTTGAGCCACGTGGGGAAATCAGTCACAGGTTCTGCAGAACTTTAATGCTTCAATTAAATTTTATTTATATAGCGCCAATTCATAACAGAAGTTATCTCAGGACACTTTTCAAATGGAGCAGGTGTATTATAAAATATTTACAGAGACCCAACAGTGCCACCATGAGCAAGCACTTGGCAACGGGGGCAAGGAAAAACTGCCTGTTAAAAGGCAGAAACCTAGGACAGACCATTCGGCTCTAGGTGGGTGGTGGTCTGCCTCAACCAGTTGGGGTGAGAGAGGAGAGAGAGTGAGAGACAGAGAGAGACAGAGACAGACAGATGCACAGCAACAACAGTAGCAACAACTACACTAATAGTAGTGACTGATGATAATGAACATGAAGAAGATGATGACGACGACAACAGCAACGATGGGGGACAACGAGCAGTAGGGTTGGGTATTGGTTGGGTTTTATCCAATACCGGTGCCTACTCGGTATTTTTTAAACGGTTCTGGTGCTTAAACGGTTCTCGAACCGGTACTTAAAAAAACTAAACCACACACACTTTGTCAAAAAACAATACCCTTTTATTTCCAGGGCCAAATTGAACACAATATTAAGTTAACGACATAACACACGTTGTCACTCACGCTGTTGAATAGCAACGGTGTTTGCTAGCCTACTTGACATGCATGATTTGTGGTTGGCATTAAATTACTAGATTTACCTGAAGAGGAAAGGCTGATGTCATCATCATCATCTGTGATGTTCACCACCACACTGGCAGGGCTGGGAGTCTCTTCAATTTGTCCGGCGAGGCCGACACTGGCTGCGGCTGCTGGAGTGCTTGGCCTTGCGTCACGTAGGTTATCAAACACGGCACATTGTTCGGCTTTAAATAAACTCCATGTGTCGCCAGATGTTTCATCAAATTCGACGTGTTACCTCCCTTGCATGCAATTGTTTTCTGGCATCTGTTGCATGTCACAGAGTCTGCATCATTAGACGTGAAATGCAGCCAAACCTTGGGGCGTTTTGCCTTCGGCATCTTCATTGATCCTCTCACTATCAGTTCTGATCAACAAGTGTGCTGAGTAGTGGCACTGATGTCACGCAAGTTGACACCGGAACACCGGGGGCCGGTGAAAAAAAAAAAGTCAGGCACCGAAATGTTCGTTCTTATTCGGTCTGGTTACGACGGTTTACGTCGGAACCGGTGCCCTATTGGTACCGCGTTTCGGTACCCAACGAGCAGTGACAATAGTAATAATAGTAACTGTGGCCATAATAATATTAAAAATAATAATAACACTAATATCAGTGATATTAGCAATGGCAGTCAAGCAGGACCATGGCAGGAGGTACCACCAGGATCCATGAGAACCTGCGAGACGAGAAAGCACAAGAACTCCGGGGAAGAAGTAAAGTTAGTAACATGCATTAATGGGACATGAATGAGTGCAGAAAGAGAGAGAGAGGAAGAGAGGAGCTCAGTGCACCATGGCAAAATCCCCCGATAGGATCCTCCTGTTCTACTTTTTGAGACTATAGGAACCACAAGTAGCCCTGCATTCAGAGAACGTAGTGTTCTAGTGGGGTAATAGGGTACTATGAGCTCTTTAAGATATGAAGGGGCCTGACCATGAAGAGCTTTGTAGGTGAGGAGGAGGATTTTAAATTCTGTTCTAAATTTTACAGGGAGCCAGTGCAGAGAAGTGCTGCAGCGTGCTGCAGCGTTTTTAATTAATTGGAGCGTCTTAATGGACTTATTGGGGCAGCCTGATAATAAAGAGTTGCAGTAATCCAGCCTAGAAGTAACAGATGCATGGATTAGTTTTTCTGCATCTGTCTGTGATAGGATGTGTCTAATTTTTGTAATATTACGTAAATGAAAGAAGGCAGTCCTAGAGGTTTGCTTTATGTGGGAATTAAATGACATGTCTTGATCAAAGATAACTCCAAGATTCCTGACAGTGGTGCTAGAGGCCAAGGTAATGCCATCTAGAGTAACTATATCTTTAGACAGCGAGTCTCTGAGGTTTTTGGGGCCAAGTAGAAGAATTTCGTTTTTTTCTGAGTTTAACAACTCATCCAGGATTTTATGTCCTTAAGACATGTTTGTAATTTAGATAATTTATTAATTTCATTGGGCTTGATCGATAGATATAACTGCGTATCATCTGCATAGCAATGAAAGTTAATGGAGTGATTCCTAATAATGTTGCCTAAAGGTAGCATATATAAAGTAAATAGAATTGATCCAGGTACAGAACCTTGTGGAACTCCATGACTAACTGTAGTATTTATTGAAGATTCATTGTTAACATGTTCAAACTGTGAACGATCTGATAAATATGACTTAAACCAGCTCAGTGCGGTTCCTTTAATGCCAATTTGATGCTCAAGTCTCTGTAAAAGAATATTATGGTCCATTGTCAGAAGCAATCAAAAGGTTGTTGTTAACTTTAACCAGAGCTGTCTCTGTGCTGTGATGAACTCTAAATCCTGACTGAAAAACCTCAAATAAGCTATTGTTATGTAGAAAGTCACACAACTGATTATTATTTAATAATAATCTTTATATAATAAGGCAGTTGTTGGATGCAGAATTCGAAAAAACAAAAAGAAAGGCACCATCTAAAGCCAGTGTTTGTTTTTTCCATTCTGGGCTACATATGGCGGCCTCCATAGGAAGACCCGCTCCCTCTGTAGATAAAAACAGCTCATTCTACGGTAACAAAAACACAATGATTCTTATTTCCATGTGATTATACACTAATGAAAACACATAATTTATTCGATTTCTTACAATAGATCATTCTAAATGTTACACACTGGACCTTTTAATACACTGACAAAGTAAATTAAGTATAAAAAACACATGTGCATATGTGTTATCCAATGATTTGCATAAATATATTCAGGGATTAATCGCTGCAGTCAGTAGGGGATCAGTTGCTCCCAAACATTTAGGAAAAAGCTGAATCACTTTGAGATTACTTTTACTTTGGTAGGTCACAACTGAATTTCTAATGCCAAATGATCCTGTTTAGTGGCTAGATAGTATACAGTATATAGACACTTCCTTGTAAATCCAGCCTGATGTTTGGTATGTTTTGAAAGCTTGATATTTTAATTAGAATTTCAGTATAAGTTCTCTGGTCTAAACTGCTGTTTGCAATGACAGATCAGTTTAATTGAACAGTTTTAAGCATTATCCAAACAAATTGTAGATTTAGACTGCTTTTACTATACAGTCACACACTGCAGTCCAGTCCACTGTGGTCAGTCAACAAAAGTCACAGGGCCATAAGGTTGGTAGAGGACAATTGGTTGACCCCAAGCTACTCTCACACGTGATGGCGGGGCAGGAAGGAGGGGGGCTGTCCCACTGGAGCACCTGATTGGTTGAGTGAATGAAAAGCAAAAGCGTAGGCAGTGGTGATTAAAGATCCAGGATGTTATATTGTCTCCATTTCATTATTTTGTTTTAGACTTTCCTCCCTTTGTTTGCGCTTCTTAAGGGGAATGTGTGTTAATGCATCCAAGTGGGGTTTGGCACACGCATGTGTGCATGTGATGAGAGGAAAATGATGCAGCATGTGAGAATGATTACAGAACAGCGACACTAAGCCCTTGCTCTATTATTCTCCTGTCCAGGTGTGAAGCTCTGTTTGTATATGTTGTGGTGGGTGGGTGTTTTTTGTGTGTGTGTGTGTGTGTGTGTGTGTGTGTGTGTGTGTGTGTGTGTATTGTGTTTTCCATCCAGGTGTTTGCTGGCTTTGAATGTGAATGCTGGTTATTGTTTGTATTTGTCCTTGTAGCCCCGGGCTTCTTTCCCTCTGTAAAGTCGATGGAGATTATACAAATCCCAGCAGGCGTGACACTGTGAAGTCATGTTATTTTTGTCATACCTGAAGAGTGATTTAACGACTCTCTCACACACACACACACATACACACATACATATTGTACACACCTAACCATAGCTGGCAAGCTTTCAATAAACCAATAGTGTATTGTTTCCACCCACTTCAGCCTCCCCGAGGGAAACCCCTCTCTATTTATCTCTCAACAATGGACTGGCTTGCCAGACATAAACACCTGGGCTCGTATTTATCGAGCATGTCATAAAAATCAGGCCTAACTGGCCAAAATATCACAGAGAAACACACATTTGCTTCTACTTTTAGGCCTTAGGAAACAGGGAAATTACTCATATCATTGCCAGTATCTAGGAGGGCTTCAGAGGCGTCCTAACCTGTTAGGAGTTCTCAGGAGATCACAGTCATGTAGAGACATCTGTGGGAGGAAAGATATTTTGGGAATGTTTAATGACTGTGAGAAAAGAAAGAGTAGTAGTATTTTTTTGTGACTGACCTTGTGCAAGATGCAATTGACCCTTCCTAAGCCCCATTCCTTTTGGAACCCTTGTCAACTTTCTCCTTTCCTGTACTAAGATATGCTATGCGCTGAAAAATGAGCAGCGTGAGGATTTGAGTGACTTTGACAAGGGCCACATTGTGATGACTAGATGACTGGGTCAGAGCATCTCCAAACCTGCAGCTCTTGTGGGGTGTTCCCGGTCTGCAGAGGTCAGTACCTATCAAAAGTGCTCCAAGGAAGGAAAAGAACCGGAGACAGGGTCATGGGCGGCCAAGGCTCATTAATGCACGTGGGGAGTGAAGGCTGGCCCGTTTGGTCCGATCCAACAGACGAGCTACTGTAGCTCAAACTGCTGAAACAGTTAATGCTGGTTCTGATAGAAAGGGGTCAGAACACACAGAGCATCAATTAATGTAGATTAACTAGTTAGTTAGCTTCTGTTTTGCTAACATTAGCTAACTTAAGGTGTGACTACATATATTTATCTGCCCCCACCCGCATCTCCACCTCCTCACCTTTCATGGTTATCTTTTAACCATATTCAAAATGTGGTGGTCTTTTCAACATAGATTAGCCTAGCACATAGCATATCTAAGTACAGGAAAGGAGAAAGTTGACCGAGGTTCTGGGCGAGGCTTGCTCAACTGTTATTAAAGCACAGAGCAAAAAGCTGCGGGACTTAGGAAGGGTCAGTTGCTCCATTAACAAAGAGAGTACATGTCGTCTCTTCACAGAAGCAATAGTGCAACCTGGCACTTCAACAATGGAGTGTTACAACAGTAAGGATATGAGTCTTAATTTTGGCAGTTATAAAATCACACTTTTATTACTCTTATAGATAATGAACACATTCATTCATTTGAATCTAGAGATGGAAAATTGGTGCTGAACAACTTAATATTATAATCTTTGTAAAACAGTGTGATTGGATGAGGATGTCTAGGATAGTTTTGCTTAGATGAGTCCAAATTTGGACACATTCATACCCTTGGGGTCATGAAACCTTGACTGGGTATAGTCAGATGGTGGCGAGGACTACTTTATATTTCTGAATGGTCAATTACAAATAGATGTTATTTCTTATGACACAAAAAAGTAATATTTTGTTCCAAAATGCTGTACAATGGTTCAACCAGCTTGACAATTGAAAGGGCCAATGAAAGTCATTTGTTAAAGGAAACTTAGCATCAAAATCTGTGCAGATTTAAGCAGGAATACTGTATATCAAGTGCACAATAATACCTCTGACAAGCTGGAATTTCAATTCAATTCAATTCAGTTTCATTTCATAGTGCCAATTCATAACAGAAGTTATCTCAGGACACTTTTCAAATAGAGCAGGTCTAGACCGAACTCCTTAATACATTATGAGCAAGCACTTGGCGACAGCAGCAAGGAAAATCTTCCTTTTAAGAGGCAGAAACCTCGGATAGACCCCGGCTCTAGGTGGGTGGCCGTCTACCTCGACCAGTTGGTGCCAATTAGATGCTCTGTAATAGAATATGATGGTCAATGGTGTCAAATGCAGCACTTAGCTCTAACAATACAAGTACAGAGTCCATTGTCAGAAGCAATTAAAAGGTCGTTATTAACTTTAACCAGTGCTGTCTCTGTGTTGTGATGAACTCTTAATCCTGACTGAAAATCCTAGATAGACATATTTCAGGGCTATGATGTTGGATGTTACAGGGATCATAAATACAAACAACACTGGATTTGTGAAAAAAGAAGTATGTATGATTTTTTTAAATAAAAAAACAAAACTAAATACATAATACAGACAGAGAATTGTATAAAAAGTTCTAAGAAATATCAAGAAATCTCATCTCTGATCAGTATTCACAGGATATATTCTGTACTGTTATTGTTATGCATTGAATATAATATGACATGTACAAGTTAGTGAAGTATAAAGTCACAGTGGTCATGGTTGTCATGAAACAACTTAATTAACTGTACATCTAAAGGTATGTGTAGCATGTGTTAGCAGGCATAATCTATTGTTGTTATCTTTTGTTACATTGTTAAGACATGAGACTGTGTGACATGATGGCCCATCTGCGTTCTTTTGTCTGTACACAGGTCATGTGTTATGTAAAAAAAAAAAAAAATACACTTAATATCATCACTGTACTGCTCTTGTAACAACAAAGCGGGTGGGAGGGGAGCAGATCATGTTCCTTCTTTTGTTTACCCTTCTTTCTGTAAAGGAGCTCTCCTTCCTCAGGGAGCTAACTGAAGACAGGAGAAAGTGCTGTTTCTCTTCCTCTCTACTCCCTCCCTCTGTGTGACCGCAGCAAAAAGTGACCTTTAAAGACGTCCACCCAAGCCTCCTGCCTCAGATGTTAGTTGGTAGTGCAGAGGGATACAAATGTATGTGTTGTCTATAATGTGCCAGCCTGAATAATTACAACTGTCTGGGTTTCTTTGGTTTGTTTTGCCTTGTTTCACAATGTGTTGCCTCTGAAAGCCCCACCAAAATGAAATCATCTTCCTCAGACACATTTTGAAATGTGTTTATTTATTTATTTATCGACTGATACGTAATATGTGTCTGTCATGTGCGTGCGTTTCAGGCTAAAGGAAAGGAGCGACAGTGGTTGAAGAACCAGGCTCTGGGAGAACTGGATGACGCTAAAATCATTGATGGACTGACTGGAGAGAAGGCTATATATAAACGCAGGGGAGAGCTGGAACCAGAGGTGTGCGTGTGTGTGTGTGTGTGTGTGCGTGTGTGCGCGCTTGCGCTCATGCAGATATTTCAACCACTCTTAAACTTTTTTTTTCTCACCTCCAAACACACACACTCCTGACTTACACACATAATTTTTACCTTTAACTGTCAGACGATACATTCCAGTGGTGTGTGTGAGATTATTATTACACCCTGCCTTTCTGCTCCAGCTCACACACTTTCTAGTCATTTCTCCTGCTGTCAATGTGTGCTCCAGAAAGCCCCCACCCAGCACGCACACATATATAGCACAGAGATAGTTCTCACACTAATCATACAAACACACACTAACCATAATATGCATGCCATGTTTTTCTACCTTATTTAGCTCCAAGCATTGCATATTTTTGGTCTGGCCTGAAGGTCTACATTGACATAATTGCAACCGGTTTTAAAGTCCTGGCCTTGTGTTGAATGTTATTTTAAGTAAGCAAACCAAATTCCACAAAACACTTTCCAAACTAGGTATTTTCTGTTGTTCATCTCCATTAATATTCTTTAAAAATCTTGTGTTTTGTATATGTGTTACCTTACGTGTTCACAGCTGGGCAGTCCTCAGCAGAAACCCAAGCGTTTACGGGTGTTGGCTGACGTGTCGGGCAGCATGTACCGCTTCAACGGTGTGGACGGCAGGCTGGAGCGCTCCATGGAGGCTGTGTGTATGGTCATGGAGGCTCTGGAGAACTATGAGCACAAGTTCAAGGTGAGATGGTCACACCGAGTATGTGTTTATGATGCTATTATTAACACTTATATAGTGTTTTATAGCATTGTGTTTAAATTAGCATCTTATAAGGCACTTATTACCTATTAACTAATATAATACTATATTTTTTTCAGTTTGTGCCTAGAAAACTCAACCGCTGACATAGTTCATTGGTCATTCATAAATGAAAAAAAGGTATAACAGCTTAACCAGGAGAGTAGGATCATAGGCAAAGGATGGAGGAAGCCAAAAAGAGAGGGGCAGAGAGAAGGGGGGAGAGGGAGATACGAGCATGTGTAAAAAAGTTGAACTGAGACAGACTTCTTGGCCCCTAAGTGACATTCAACCCAACCTAATAATGATCACATATCATTCTTACACACATACACACACACATTTAAGTGGCACTCATCCCATGTCAGTATAACTGCTTTCTATGCATAACAGCCATTACATAAAAGTGCATCCAATAACAGAAAAGACATACACATCTTGTGTGTGTGGCTGTACTACCTGCAGTCTCTTTGTGTGTGTGTGTGTGTGTGTGTGTGTGTGTGTGTGTGTGTGTGTGTGTGTGCTATCCATTGATGGTGTTACTATAGGTCAAACATACATATCTATTTAGAAATTCTATTTGAAACAGTCAATGTAAATAGATATGACACGAAGAAACATTAGGCTCAAGAATTTGTCACTTAACCTACTTATTTACAAGCCAAAAATGGAACGGAAAACTTACATATCAGTTTTTTTGGGGGGAAAAAACCCACTGAACTTCAATTTATACGTCTATTATATTATAATTTTAATTATACTTGAGGTGTATAAAAATTTTACAGAAAAAAAGGAAAAATATATAGTACAAAAAACATTCTGATCTGAAAAGACAACATTTAAAAAAAACACTGTTACCCAGCAACAGTGACATGGACAGATGAGACACACAGTCGCATACCTTTGACCACCACAGTTATAACCGCTCTTATTAGAAATAGCCCATATACTTAATACCTGGGTCCTCAAATAGCTGAGTGGAGCCCATGGTGCCAGGCTGACAAATCCTTATGTAAGTCAGCTATGATAGATGGTCTACACAACATCCTATAGTGGGCCCAGGTTGGAGAGAGGACAGCTTCCTATAAGTTACCATCTACCATGTTTGTACGCCATCATAACTGCATCTTTCCACCTGATTAACTCTGAGCAACAATAAGATACTGTCACTGCCATTTGTATTCATGTGGTGTGGCACATCTTACCTTTATTAAATCTTCTTTTACATAAACTGTTTTCTCTCTGCAGTACGACATAGTGGGCCACTCAGGCGACGGCTACGACATTGAGCTGGTCAGACCGGACAAAGTCCCCAAGAATAACAAGCAGAGACTCAAAGTCCTCAAGGTACAGGTTCATGATCAGTCTGTTGATGTTTTCTTACTGTACACCATTTATTCCCACCCAAATAGAATGAAAACAATGGTTCGTATTGTTGTGTTTCTTTCTGTCTTGAAATTCTGCTAAAAGTAAAGTTAACTATAAAGTGTTTTTTGGTGTTGTTTTTACTTTAGTTTTATATTTGTCCAGGGAAGAAAATAACTCTTTTTGTAACTTGAGTGAATAGTGACCCTATTTAAGCTATCCTTAAAGCCCCATCCCTTTAGGCATCCCTTCAAAACTACCCTATTAAAACACAGTGAGTGCATGGGCAGAGTGTGCACAGGTAGGCCAGTCAGGCTTATTATGACGACAGCCACAAATACCGGATATTAAGTGGTGTTAAGGCTAGGTGAGTGAACCCAACTGCTGAACACAGAGACACAGGGAGACTGGAATTTTGAGCTGTAATAGTTTTTTGCAAAACTTTGAAGTTAGTGAAATGCAAAAAGCAACAGGTAATCAGTGTTTTAGAAAGGAGGCTAGAGACAGACTGACTGCACTACAGTGCGGGGGGGTTGATGAGGGGCTGAGTATTTGAAGGAGTCTTGATGCAGGCTAAGATGCAGCTGTTCAGGCTGCACCCAAAGTTCGGTACGCCAGTCTCCACTGGTGTACCGAAATATAATATGTAATATGGTCAACAAATGAAAGAGAAAACAAGTGAAAGACATAACAGTTGGCTCATGAGTTCACAGGCAAATGATCTACCTGTGCAATGCACTGGATAATATATCTTCCCTTTCTCTCTATCCCCTCCCCCACCCCGCAGACCATGCACGCCCACGCTCAGTTCTGCATGAGCGGCGACTACACTCTGGAGGGCACCGACGCCAGCATCAAGGAGTTGGCGCGAGAAGAGGCTGACGAGCACTTCGTGGTGGTGCTCAGTGATGCCAACCTGGAACGCTACGGCATCCGGCCTGAGCGCTTCGCCCAGGTCCTGACCTCTGACCCGCAGGTTAATGCCTTTGCCATCTTCATCGGATCCCTTGGCGATCAGGCTGAAAGGTGAGGAGGTGGAGATGCAGGTGGGGGCATCTTGGTGGAGTTAAGTGAAGGGAAGCAAATGAGGAAATAGGAAGGATACGTGAATAGGGATTTTTAAAAAGTGCATAAGAAGAAGGATAAGGTAACCCTGGAAACAGCTACAGTAGGGGTTATCCAACTCCAGAAGCCAAGGTCAGGTAGACATTAACTCTGAATGCAAAGAAAGTTCAAACTGCAGTCTGTGGGTTCAAATCAGAATACTGGAAGAGAACAAGTGGCAACCTCTATGGCTGCAAATAAAGCCAAAACGGCTACTTGAGGCTGGCTCCAGCAGGTAGTCCATCTCCATAAGGCCCCATATTAAAATGCCCATCTTTACAGGAGACATGAACATGTTTACAGTCAAAAACTGTTTTGGTCTCTAGAGCTAATTTCCCCGTTCATGACAACAGTACGGCGGGTGAACCTTAATACAACTCACCTGTTTAAATTATATTGAGACTTAAAGTTATGCATAATTAAGGGCACAAAGTATGGACCCCAGTCTGCAGAAATATTCAAATACATTGGGAGATATAAATAACACATTTATACCACCCACTGCATGGGATTAGCATAAAGTGGGCATGTCTGCAAAGGGGAGGCTCTTTCCCTTTAAAAAATAACCATGCCAGTTAAGCAAAAATGTAGCTTAACTTTTGTGTGTAACTTAAGTGTTACTAAGCTTCCTTACTGACTTGCTAGCATTAAATGGTACCAATGGGTGTGTTAGGTCATTTAGTTTTAAATGATATCAGTATCTTCACTCTAGCTTCAAAATGAAGCCTGCTACAGCCTCTGAAATACAATGCAGAGTGGAAGAGGGAAGGAAAATGGGGTGGGGCACTGGGGTAGCCAATCAGATTTCAGGGGAGGCCCCCCCCCTCTAATGCCCTTGGTCGGGAAACCCCAAAGCTTCATGGGAGGTCGCAAGGCCTTCTTGGTCTCTGTAATCATCGCTGATCAATATTCACAGGAAATAATCTGCTCCAAATTCATTCATCCAAATCTCTGGTTTTACACAATCTTCCTGCAGTTATTGTGCTCACTGTTTGGGTTCATTGTACATTGTATCAGTTGTTCCCTTCTGTTACTGTTATGCATTGAATATAATGTGAAATATCTATAAAATATGTCACTTAGTCAGCTTACTCAATGATAGAAAAGTAAATATGTTGGAACCACTGGGATAGAGGAATGAGAATAATATACCCACATGGCATGGAAGCACGCAAGCATAGGAACTTATTTATGGGGAAGCCATAAAGTTATATAATATGACATTATGGGAATACTGTTTATATCCCTGTTGACTGTCCATGCTTGTGTGTGTCCTCATATAGAGGACAAACTGCTAATTGGAAAAGAGGAATGTGTAAGCAATTGGGGGAGTGAAAGAAGTGCCATCAGAGGTAGTGGCTATGTACAAGTGGCTGTGCTGTGTTGTTCCTAAGCTCCACCATGTGAATGACAGGCCTTTCATTCACACACACTGTACTCTGTCAGTGGAAATGTCTAGGACCGACTCACACAGCAAACAAGCACTCGTCTGTCGTTTTATTTTGGGAAACGATTCTGTTGCTAAAGTTCAGTCCCCCTCGTTTAACCTCAAACTTCTCTTTTTTTTCTTTGTTTCAGACTCCAAAAGACCCTTCCAGCGGGGAGATCCTTTGTTGCCATGGACACCAAGGAGATTCCCCAAATACTGCAGCAGATCTTTACATCTACCATGCTGTCCAGTGCCTAAGACACATAAACACACACATACACTCACTTCTTATCTCACACATCCAAAACCTCAAATTTTCTTCTGCAAGCTCTGAGACTGTAGCACGCTGACTTGTCACGATGTGATAACCCACTTTCTGTATCAGATTATATAACTTTATCTGAACTGTATCAGGTCTGCAGACTGGCCTTTGTACAAGCTTGAAGGGAACGGTTTATTATTTTACAGAAGCCTTCAGTAGAAGCAGAATGTGGCAGTGCTGTGTAGCGTGACGAGTTAAATGATGTGTACTGTCCCTCGGGGAATACTTACTGTACAGTGTGGTCTGTGATCAGTGTGACTCTACTGGGAAATGACACATACTGCAACTACAGTGACATTATGAGTGCCTGGAGTCTGTCTCAGACCCCATGTGGGGATCAAACACAGGCCCCGACCTGTTGTTGTTGTTTTTTTTGGGCCGATAGTGTGCTGACGCAGGCACACATGCATACGTCCTGTTTTGGGTTGCGAGCAACTTCACTTAGACGGGGGAGGGACACGAACTTGAAACGGGCTCACTTATTTGGACTTCCTCCTCATTTATCGCCTGTCGCGCAGAAAAACACGCACGCACACACACACACACACACGACACATGCAGGAAGGGTTGCACTAACGCGCCACCTGACCGACACTTGGATGTGGCGAGCGGCTGAACTTGGCTCTTTTGGAATGCTGAGACTGTGAGCAGGGAATTTCCCACCTGACTGCACACGCTCTTTAAAGGCAGCCACTGTTGCACAACCCCCTGCTGTGTGTCTGTGTGTGTGTGTGTGTGTGTGTGTGTGTGTGTGTGTGTGTGTGTGTGTGTGTGTGTGTTCTCCTACAGCATCCATGTCAACATGCACAAGCCCTTTCCTTCCTGGCGGCTGGACCTTGTGACGCCCCATGCTCGTCTCAGTCCTGCAAGGAATCTGAGATCGCCTTTCATTGCCAGACCTCCCACTCCTCTTTCACACACACACCTTTGCCACCACAAGGCTTAGTGTGTGCATAGCGGTGCGTGTTTAGAGATTAAGTGCACATAGAATATAGACTGTGTGTGTACATCATGTTTCATTTAATGATGCAGTGTGGTCATTCTTCCTGTCTGTACCACCTCACAGACACGTGCATCCAGTTCCAAATCCACTGATAGGATCAATATAACAGCCTGTCTAACAATCAGTCTCTATTGATCCCTCTCTGATAGATGGGATGTCACTGTTTTTATTAACCTACTTCTGTCTCCCTCTGACCCTCTCTCTGGCTCTGTCTCTCTCTCTCTCTCTCTCTGATTAGTTGGAAGGAGCAACAGTGACTTCATGGTAAAAACTGGACTAGTTTCTCAGTAGTCATTTCACCTACATTACATGTTGAAACTTGTTTGGGTATATAGACATTTAAAATGTGCATAGAAGCATATTAAATCGTATGCATTTGAATCTCTTTAGTCTTATTTAATTGTACATTGTTATTACTTTATGTGGAAAAAATTGTAAAGGTAATGTACAAAATTTTAATAAAACCATGATAACATTGCTCAGGTGATTCCCCACACTTTTTGTCTTGTTAAATAATTGATCACCTACTGTACTGTTTAGTAACTGTGGCTAACCTTTACATTCATAACAATCCCATATCATCGCTGTTCAAAGGAAACCATGTAGTTGCCATTTGTTCATTTTAACCAGTGTAGTTGGCTCAATGGGAGCACCTTCCGCAATCCGCTACACAGTTTAGAGAATATTATAGATCCAAGACGAAGCTAACAGAAGGGCAAGACTGAGAAAAAGGTACAATTACAAATCCATCCGCTACTTCAACATCATGGACAGTGCAATGGATTTATCACAGTCAGGCTGCAGATATTTCAGAGCCATGGAAAGGACTCGGGGCTATCTAACCTCAGTCAGATAAAGGATGAGTGAGTTCATAATACAACTTAGGCATTATGATGTCCCTGACCTTGTGTGAGGATTTTTTATCTAACTTGTAGAGCACGCCATGTGAAATAACTTTTTTTTAACTTTTTTTTTTTTCTCTCCATATGTTGCCTCTCGTCCCGTTAGTATATGTCAAATCCTTCATCCGGTTCAAATCTAGAGTTAAAAAGCACCAAGATCTAAACAGTGGATGGTAACAATGTGGCTTCAGACTGGATCAACAGTCAATGTATGACAGCTTCTGGCAGACAACCACAACACTGACGCAGGCACAAAGGGGAGATGATGCCATCGACAGGCGACCGGTGAAACGCAGCGTTACCTGAATAAAATGACAGATTTCTCTGAGTTTGAACATTGTTGGAAACATTTGGGATAATGGAAGTACACAAGTCAACTACATATAGAACATAGAGCTAGAGTTTATAGACAGTTTATTGCAGAAATGTTATATTATAGCTTTAAAAACTCACTGGATTATCTGAAAAACACATTGTTACAAAGCTTGTGTTGTTGTGTTGTATCTTATTCTGCATCTTAATACTTAGTAACTGAGTGACTTCTTAGAATCATAGACCACTCAGCTTCCCTCCCATTTCCTCCTTGGTCACTTTTTCCATGTGTTGTAATGATCAGTTTGCTCGACCACAATCACCCAGCCCACCCTCACTGTTTTGCTAACCAAAACAACTCAACACATACTATGCAACTCTGCACAATACAGATTTCACACCGTGTAGTCAGTCAGTCTATTCTTCTCTGAATTGGATACTTGGAAACACCTGTAATTTAACACCTTCCACTCCAGGACACCTTTCAGCTCTATCCATATTTTGTTATAGTTAATGTTCCTGAAGTTTAGCTTCTTTTTTTTATGCTGACTCTGGTGCTACATGGATGTTGTTAGGATTTTGTGCTTCACCCAGAATGTGTACATCTGTGTCGTAAATCAGGGTTCTGAAGATTATTATCATTATTATTATTATTATTATTATTATTTATTTATTTATTTTTTTTTTTTATTTTTTTTTTGCTCCATAATAACCTTTTAGCATATTGTAATTCAAGTTGTCTAAAGGAAAACTAGACTTCTGTGCCTCCTCCTGGATCTGTTTTCAGGCTTTAGAAAAGCTAGTGACCCTGGCCAGATTCTCAGGTCGTCATTGCTTATTGCACCTTTAACAGTACATCAGTTGGTAAAACAGGTGCATTTCAATGAAAACGTATTGTTCTATAATTGTATGCCTACTTGTAGGCATATGTTGTATTATTCAGCCTACAGTCTCTGCCTGGGCCCTGTCTGTCTTATGGAAAGAGTAGTGTGGTGTTAATTACACTCTGCTGTGTGTTCCACTTTCTTTCCCTGCTTCCTGTCCTTCCTGCTTTATTGACACACTGTACCACCCTGGATTTGCAATGACAAACTCTGACAAACTTGCGCACACACACACACACACACACACACACACACACACACACACACACACACACACACTTACCTGTAATGCAGACCTGATCCGCCTAAAAGTCCTGTATGATTACAACAGAGATAAGACGTCTAGACTAGCAGGGTATTACATGCATTAGTCAGTGTTGTGTGTTTGTTTTGTGTCCCCACTTCTTACATGCTCAGATACTGTATGAGTCAGTCACAATTTCTGCTGCAGTGGAAAAATCTGCAGAAAAACTAGCTGGTGATTCATAATGTGCAAAACTATTTCTGGGTACTTTTGGCTGATCTCATTACGTCTCCGTCTCCATCCTGTGTTTGACAGAGCAGAAAACAAACAAAACAGGGCGCCCGGTTAGCTCAGTCAGTAGAGCTGGCGACCCATATACTGCAGCGGCCCGGGTTCGAATCTGAACTGCAGCCCTTTGCTGCGTGTCATCCCCTCTCTCTACCCACCTTTCCTGTCTGTCTTCAGCTGTCTCTGTCAAAATAAAGGCATAAAGGCCAAACAAATAATAACTTTAAAAAAGAAAACAGCACATAAGAAGTGAGACTCATGTGTTCACTGGGGGCTAAATTGCAGCATGATTAAACCCTAAGCAGGGGTACAGGAAGCATTGAAGAAGAAGAATTGAAATTATAATAATTATTTTTAGTCTATTAACATACACCAAGATACAAAACATGAAGGAACGCATCACCCCATTACTGTTATGTGAGTGCATAAGGATACACACAAACACAGGGGCTTCACTCCGCTGTGGTGACAGACAGACAGATAGCTGGCGGCAGTCCCAAAGCTTTATGGAAGATTCATTAGGCAGTAATAAAAGTCCAGAGTCAATAGTCCTCTTTAATCACTGTGTGGTTAGTGTGTGCCAGTGGTTGGCAGAGTCCTACAAATCCACATTCAAGAAAGAGTAATAATAGTCACATCCAAAATGCCTCAGGTAAAAATGGAAATTACAATTTGAGAAACCTGATCAAGTAAAAGTAGAAAAGTACCTAACTTCAATAACTTACTCAAACTACAAGTTACTTTCCATTTTAATATTTTTTAGGGTGTGATTACTTCTGCAATTATGAAAATAACATCGGTTTCTCCATCATTGCATCTTGTATCTGAGTCATTGGAGAGAAAGATAGAGACACTGGCCTATTTGCACCAAAAGAGATCCCTGTTGGGTCTGGCAGACAACCACACCTTGGACACACACACACACACACACACCGAAGGACCACCTGACACCTGCCCTTGTCATGTCCTAATTGAGTTGTGCATTGAATCTTGAGAGGAGACTTATGAGCCGTGCTGCTGACAGACCCAAAGACAGATTGGCGGAGCACCTGACACACAGAAATGCTGATACGCAGATGTACAGGCAGTCTGTCAGACAGTTGGAGTAGTGATGTAAAACAAACTGCTGTAAAGAGAGGATTACAAGACTGTATTTCAGCACATCACCCAAGTTCACCTTGAATTGATGATGCAATAAGTCCAAACATGGGCTTATTCCATAAAAGGATTTAGGGTAAAGGAGGGCAAACCCACAAACAATCTAGGACACCATCTTATCAATATGACAGTGTCTTGTGTCTGAGAGTGTTGACATGTTGCAATGAATAGAGAAAATATTATTTTTATGTCTTTTGCACAATTTTTGTAGCACTGTCTGAATAAAACTTATTTTCCCAGTATACTCTTCTCCCCTAAATATGTGGTTTGTAGTATGTCATCAGGGTATGGTGGTGGTGGTTGCATGCCCCTATAACCTTGGAGCTTTGTTGTCAAGGGCAACCACTCTTTATTGTCTCCTAAGGCAAGTTGGTTCCAAGTGAGGGGCCAGACCTAGAGTGGTCCAAAGACCTCTTTGGATCAGTATCAGACAGAAGTGCAACCTAACTAAGGCCCCTTCTGGGACAAGGCCTAGGAGGACATCTTGCTGCCAACTGGGTGGTAGTTGTACGGATCCCTGGCTCCAAAAACTGGATCTTGACACATGTAATGTCATCTCTCTAGAGGGGAAAGAGCTAGATAGATGGAAGGTACCAACTAGATATAGTTGGACTCACTTCTGGGGACTGGGGCTTAAATCTGCTTTTCAGCTGGTTAGTTTTTGGACTCTTTACATGGTGTCAGGACTCCACCTAGGATATGCGCATGTCTATTAGGGAGCCTGATCTAAACCTGAGTAGTAGAGTCTGTGCTTGTCACAGACTGTTCATAACAAATACCATGTTTAAGCATACAGGAGTTATAGTTGTACCTAATACCCAAACACATTTGGTGCTCCATGATTGACTTTGTAATTGTATCATCTGATCCACAGCTGTGTCTTGGACACTTGGGTGAAGCAAGGAGCAGAGTTGTCAGCTGATCATCATGTGGTGGTGAGTTATATCAGGTGGCAGGGGATCTGTCAGACAGAGCCAGTAAACCCAAATGTGCAGTGAGGGTGAACTGTAAACATCTGCCTCAGGTCTATGACTGAAAAGGTTTACAACTCCCACCTCTGACAGAATTCTCTCTGTAACCCAAGGGAGTTTGGGTGTATGGAATCTGAGTTGGTCATGTTCGAAGACAGTACAGAGGCTGCTGCACAGATTTCTGGCCTGGTCATAAGTACTGGTCATGAGAACAACACCAACAGTCAGAACAGAAAGTGGTCCAGCTGAAAAAGGGGGCTTTTTAGGCTTGATGAGCCAAAGAAGCTCCTCAATAAGTATAGACGTGGTGAGAATCCGGAGGGATTGCAGTTTCTGCTTACACGAAAACACAAAATATGGGTATGGAATGAGTTTCTGAAGGTCATTTGGATTTTTGGCTTCAAATATTTTTGGCAACTCAACAAGGCCCTGCCTCCACTGATGTCCTGGGACAAGATCAGAACTAACGGAACTCTTAGAGGAACTAAACCTAACCTCGCACATTGTAGAGGAGGTAGAGTCAGATGAATTATAGAAAGCCTTGGCTATTTTTTATTTTTTTTTAATCATAGTCATCTGTTGATCTCATTGGACCACAACCATAGTGGGGCAGTTTACAGAGAGGTTAAGAATCAGTGTGGTGCCATGGTACTCTGTTTAGTTTAAGGGTCTTGTTTGCAAGCGAAGGTAAGGCAGATTGGTATGTTTTTAGCAGTGAT